TGCACCCAAAATGGTTTTTGTAAAACATAAATCTGATTTGGTTGTTTATCTGCTTAATTCCCCCCCAGGGGCACCCCACTGCATTCAAGATAATGTCAAATTCCTTACATGTTCCCTTATCATCTGTCCCATTAACCACTTCGCCAGCATCTCCCCTCTCCACCTCTTACCCAGTGTTCTTTGCTCCAGCTGCACTGAACTACTTTCAGTTCTTCCAATGATCTATGCTTCCTCATAAATGCTGGGAGGGTCCACGCTACATCCCTGTCCTTCTGATTGAACATTCGCCCTTAGCTTAGACATCATTTCCTTTAGGTAGCCTCCTCGAACATACCCCAAGTACAGGCCCAGGGACCCTGCTAGGAACACCAACAGTATTGTGCACCCTCCTATACTGTGTTCAAGAGCATCTCCCCAAAATTCATGTTCACTCAGAACCTCAGAATTTGACCTTATTTGGAAATAAGGTCTTTACAGATCTAATTAGTTCAGGATGTTGAGACAAAATCATTCTGGATTTAGGATGGACCCTACATCCAATGACTGGTATATTTATAAGAAGAGGAGAGGACACAGCCAGTGACACAAAGGGAAGAAGGCCATGTGACCATGGAACCAGAGATTGGAGTGATGCTCTCACAAGTCAAGGAACACCAGGAGCACCAGAAGCTGGAAGAAACACTGAAGGATCCTCCCCAAGAGTCTTTGGAGGGAGCATGACCCTGCTGACACCTTGATTTCAGACCTGTCGCCTCTAGAATTTTTGTTGTTTACAGCCACCCAGTTTATGGTTCTTTGTTACAGTTACCATAGGAAACTAACAGACCTCCCATTCTAGACTTCTTGAAATATATCAATCATTGTATTTCCAGTCTCACTAGACTCTAAACTGCAAAAGCAAAGCAAGGACTAATTCTATTGTTAGAATTGTATGTTCACTGCTAAAGACAGCAATTGGTACATTACAGGCAATTACCACAAACAAATGTATAAAACAAAGAACAAATAAATTCTTCGTAATAGTAGACATCTATCGAAACCTGAGCAACACCATTATTTAATCTACGTTAATTTTGCTGGCAAAATCTGTATTACTTGAGATTTTATTGCCATTACAGTTTGATGGCTTTTGAATGACAGTTGTGAAGAAGGGTTTTAGTAAACATCTATTGTTTTCACTTGCTCCACACCTACTCCTCATCTCAGAACTGTGAATTTCCCTTTGGGAACTGACCCTCCTCACATGCAGGCAGTCTCGGGAGAATTGTTAATTGAGTGCCATGGTTCCTGGCAGAGGGAAAATGATTCAAACTCAGCCACGCAGACTCCGTTTGTGAATGTGGGAAGAATAGCATTAAAACACACTATTAGTCCAGATTTAGCTCCATGGCAGTACTCTTCAGAGTCTCTCTCCAATTCTTGTTTTCTGGATCCTTGGAACAGCTCTGGCTCCTGTCTTTCCTGAGGACCGTTTCATCTGATTACTTTCTGATACTATGAGCTAACTCATATCCTTTCAGCAAGATGCCAAAAGCTTAACTGCAATAATGTGAGAGATCTAGAGCCAGAGGCACTAGCTAAGCTGTGCCCAAATGTGTAGCCCAAAGAAACTGAAAGAGAATATGTAAGCACTGTTTTAAGTGCTAAGTTTTGAAGAGATTTATACACAGCAATGGAAAACCAATACGCAGCTCACAAAAATGTCTGGGTCAGCAATAATTAAGAGAAGCCATGGAAATGAATTCAATTTTGCATTTATGTAATATTTCTGGAGTACCCTATATAAAATAAACATTATGGAGAGTTTTATTTAGATATAAATTTATATCTGTAATCATAAATGATGACTGAGTCCTCAAGAAGCTTCTAGTCTCAGGGAATGAAGGACTAGACCACAATGTGAGGTATGACAGAGGAATGTAAATGGCATTAAGGTACACAGCACATAGGAGAGGGACCTGGTCTACGTTCCAAAAGTCAGGAAAGACTTCCTGGAAAAAGTGAATTCTGAACTTCCATAAATTAACTTACTTATAACTATGCATTAACAAATTTCCCTTTCCTTTCAACCATGCAATATTTAAGGCACTTCTAAGTGGTAAGAGACACTTTTCCTGTCCATTATACTAAGACTCCTATGATAAATTTATCTCAGCTCTTAGGGCAAGAACATATATCTGCTTTTGTGACTGCTGGAAAGGCTAAAGCTGAATTATATATAGAGTGGTTATGAATCAAATCAAATGAAATATTCATATTTCATAGGTTTTGTTTGCTGTAACTTGTTTTTACTCTTATTATACTTGGCTTTCATTTGAGGGAAAGTCAAATCACTTTTAATAGTAAGTAAAAGAATCCTCAAGTATACAAGGAATAACAATGAAATTTTAAAATGCTGTAAGTGCTCTAGCCAAGGTATGAGTAAACACAGTGAGAGAGGTGGGCAGAAAAATCCTCAGTGTTCAAAACCAAACCTATTATTTTACCAACAAAAAATCCCACTTTTGAGCCAGCCCTGATGGCCTAGTGGTTAAAGTTCGGCATTCTCACTACTTAAGCAGCCCAGATTCGGTTCCCCATCGCAGAATCACACCACCTGTCTGTCAGTAGCCATGCTGTGGCAGCGGCTCACATAGAAGAACTAGAAGGACTTACAGCTAGAATGTACAACTATGTACTGGGGCTTTGGGGAGGAAAAAAAAAAGAGGAAGATTGGCAACAGATGTTAGCTCATGGCAAATCTTCCCCAGCAGGAAAAAAAAACAAAAGAAATTGGTGCTAGTGGGGCCAGCTCACTCGCTGAACGGTTAAGTTTGCGTGCTCCACTTCACCAGCCCAGGGTTCACCAGTTCAGATACTGGGCGCGGACCTACACACTGCTCATCAAGCCATGCTGTAGTGGCATCCCACATAGAAGAACTCGAAGAACTTATAACTGGGATGTACAACTAGGTACTGGGGCTTCGGGGAGAAAAAAAAAAAAGAGGAAGATTGTCAACAGATATTAGCTCAGGGCCAATCTTCCTCATCAAAAAGCATACCTAAAAAAAAGAAAGAAATTGGTGCTAGTTATTAAAGCAACCCTTTTAAAAAAAAATCCCACTTTTGCCATATTTTCCTCATTTCTGTTAATGCCATCAATATGCTGCTCTTGCCTAAAAGACCCTCTCCACTTCTAGCACTTCCACCACTTCTAGCGTCCACCACTTCTAGCACTGCTTTGTTTCTTATTTACACTACTCTCACCCTAGATAAAGCTTCTACTGCTTCTCATTTGAACTCTTACAGAGTTTAGAAACATTGCTTCTTGGGCAAACTTGATCAGATTTGACATCTGTGGGAAAAACTCATCAGTAGACAACCCAGAACCTGCATCTCAACACATTAGTTACCAACTAGTCTTTCCTTGATATGATTCAATTCTTACACTGCCATGGTGTATTATATTCATTTGTTTGTCATGCATGTCTCATCCACCACACTGTAAGCTCCTCAGGAGTGAAGATCATGACCTCGTCATCTTTTTTTCTCAGTTCCTACCACAGTGGCTGGCAAATAGCAAGTGTTTAACAGATGCTGATGAAAACGAAAGGAAAAGTCTACAAATCATCCTCCCTTCCTTTGGGTCTGCTCTCTCTTCATTGGTCTAACACACATATCATTTCCAGATTAAGCTTCTTAAAGGACTGCACCGATCATCGTATTCCCCTGCAACTGTCCTCATCATATTATGATGAAATACAAATGCCTAAGTTTAAGAATCCAAATCACAAACATATTTCCCAATACTCTGCTTTATCTACCCTATCGTTCCAATTTCCTGAATATCCCCTGTGCTCTCTCAGCTCTGTAACTTTGCTCCACCTTGGTCCTCCATTTAAATGTTCACATGCCAAAGTTCTACCTACCCTGAAAAGTATGTCTCAACTGATCTCTCATTTGCGCAGTGCTCTTCAGTTCCCAAGCTTAAAGTATTATCATCAGCAATTGCCCTTTCCTTTTACTTCTATCTTGGCACTTAGTACACCCTACCTGTACCTAAGGAACTGAAATAGGTTTCTTAGCTTGTCATATTTTATTGAAAATTAGGAGAGGCAAGAAACTATTTCTGTACCATCCTGTCCCTAATGTCTCCCGTCACCACCACCATAGCTGAAATAATCACAGTGCTTAAGCTTAGTGCAATAATGTTTTCAATAAATATTAACTGCATAATGTACACTTGCTATCATTTATAAATACTGTATTTTTAGATAGAATGGAAAGATTATGCGTATATAATATCCACTTTTCTTCTAGGCTTAGTGAGAAGATGCTACTACTTGCAACCAAAATTTAGAATCTTAACTTAATTTTGAATTTTTTCTTCAACACAAAGTATATTTTATTAGGGAAATTCTTTGAATAAAAAATATGTCAGTGGGTCAACAAACATTTTCAAAAATAGCTAATGAAAACTATAACTCATTGCCACCTTCTAGAGGTAAATTCAGCAACAAGAATAAAAAGCCTTCAAAATATTTTAGCCATTAAGCTAATTTCAGTAACTCTACTAATGCAAAATGAATGATGTATACATCATTTTATCTATAAGGATATTCTTTGAATAATAAACAAAATCTAAAAAACATTTTTAAATCATTTAAGTTTATATTAACAAATGCAATGGAAAATTCGAAACATTAATGCATATTCTCAAATAGAACAAAATAGATTTGTTTCAAAAAAATAAAGAAATTCAATGAAGAATACATATAGTATTATCCAACTTTGTTTAAAGGGAAAAAACAACAAAACAGAAATAAGTGATATAGAACAAAATGATAGAAGTTATTTTTAGAAAACAGGCTCATTTGTTATTTTAATTTTATTCTGTTTTATGTATGTTACCGTTTTATACGTTTTTTAATACCTGGTACAAAACAAAAACCGCTTTTATAATTTAAAATCTTTTTTCGAAATTGTGGAAAGTACATAAACAAACAACCATTTACTCTTACCTGGGTATGCTCAAATACAGCTGAAAGAACATACAGATGCTTGGCTTTGGATAGTTTCAATCATACAGTTGCCATCTGAGTTCTCCTTCAATCACTTTCTCTCCTATGTATACCAGATGGAATCACATGGAACTAAAAAGAAACGTAAAATTGGACTTAGTGGAATTAACCAATAATTACATTTGTGTGTATTTTAATTTAGAAGTTACAATACATACTCAAAAATTCTAAGTATTTTTTTGTGCAAGTTCAAGAAAGCTAGCCAATAACAGGAAAGCAATGATGAAACGTAATTTTTTTTGAAAAGGTAGAGTAACAGATTGCTAGATAAGGGGAAATAGCAAGAGTGCTAGATAAGTTAAATGTTTTAACTCATGGATATGTTACTATTAAAACACAGTCATGGTTGGTTGACAATTTACCCCTTTCTCCCTTGGCCTGCACAACAGCCAGCCCCAGCTATCTCCTTCCTTATTAGCCAGTTAGACCAACCAAGTGCATACTCTGTACCTGATTAAGATAAAACGGAATTTTAGAAAGCACCCATCTGTTTTAACTTTCATTCCACTTGGACTGCTATAGAGAAGCGTTGAGGTAGCTTAACCTTCCATTCATCCTCTTGATAAACCAGAACAGACATAGCAGCTGGTTGAGATTTTTACATTTTATTCCAACAGACAAAGGAAAAAGTCCTTCCAGATGCAACAACACAAATTACGCCTTCCCTTGTTCAGTCATTTCAAACATACCTCTGACATAGATACAAACAGTAGCAAAAAAATTCACAGTAGAGTATTTCTTCTTGCCAAAACAGCAAAAACAGCTCTTTTTTTTTGGCAAAAAGACAAAAACATATCTGACTCTTTTTTTTCTGCCTCCCTTCATAACTTTGATCCAGACCATTGGTAAAGCCAGACCTGTATTTTTGACTTTCCCAAATTATAAGTAAAGACAGATCTCAAATATTTTATTTTGGCCTCTTTGTCTGTATCTAAGTCATCCGACTATTCTGAAAACTATCTTTTTCCATCTTAGCCACAAGTTTCTTTGGAGGTCTGCTTATCTATATGTTCACCCTATTCTGTTTCATTTTCTAACATAACTTTAGAGAGAAAGAAAGAAGGGATCTTAGTTAAGGTGGCCCCACAGGCAAATTCCGAGGTAATAATTCAAGTAAGTGAGTTTATTTGGGAAATGCTAAGGGAGAGGGTTATAGGCAGATCATGAACAGCATCTGCCACAGAAGGGAACAATTTTCACATTGGAATTAAAATATAAGCAGGGTATGAATTTAAGGTCCTTTATAGATATTTTATAATTTTAGTGAAAAAATGTTTCTCTGCCCAGTGATGCTATTATTTATTAAATCGTATGGTATTCTCTTAGCACTTACTGAATCTTAGGGTATACAAATCATACAATTCATTTTACTTTTCCTCAAAATGTAAAGGCTGCATTATCACATACTTCCAGCTTGAGAACTAGATCTCTTCATCCTGGACAGGAAATTTCAAACATAACACAGCAAAAGGTAACCGTGAAACTATGTCATGATTTCTAAAGTGATTAACCAGATCATTTTTTTTTTCTTTTTTATCTCATGGAGAGGGGGTAAAGGAGAGACAAAATTAATTCTCTTTTAGCCTAATGGTAATTTCCCTATTTTGTGCAAATATTGGTCTTATGAAAAGAAATAAGAAAGAAATCACCCAAGATAACAAACGTAAGTAACTGTTCAAAAAAATCTCATTTCAAAATATTACAGCAAAATAAATATTTTCCTTAAAACGGTTAATTCAACTTAACATCACCACAGCTTTTATTTCGACCTCAGATTGACCGAAATCCAGTCTTACTGTGGGAAAGACTTTTCAACCTAGAATATTCTATGCGATGTGACAGAATACAGAGGAGCACAAAAATATCCACATCAAAAAACAAGAATGAACATATGCCTACTTCTATCTTTCTTCTTGCAGGAAAATGACAGATACTCTGAAGTGCATCTATTATTCCATGTCTGATATGATTAGATTTGTTCATATAAAGAGCATTTTAATATTCTTGCGAAAAATGAGATGTGCTTCTAAGCTGCTCTTTTGAACATATTTTTATTTTAAAATATAAAATCTTGATTTCCGATTTGAATGATTCTTAAAATTTGAGCATAAACATAATACACTCAATTTTATAGTTTTGCCTCCATTTATTTCATATTGTCATGAAATTTGAAGATGTGTATGAAATTAAATGAAGCCAACCATTTCTTTACAAAAAGCTTCATTTTACCCAACAGCATTAGTTTAAGGAAAACATTATTAACATTGCAATATGACTAGATGCTTCAATTTTTTAATGCAACACTTATACCTTTATTTTTTAATTTATTTTATTTTTTTTGAGGAAGATTAGCCCTGAGCTGACATCTGCCACCAATCATCCTCCTTTTTGCTGAGGAAGATGGGCCCTGAGCTAATATCCATGCCTATCCTCCTCCACTTTATATGTGGGATGCCTACCACAGCATGGCTTGCCAGATGGTGCCATGTCCACATCTGGGATCCAAACCGGCGACCCCCTGGCTGCCGAAACAGGACGTGCAAACTTAACCACTGTGCCACCAGGCCGGCCCAATATTTCTATCTTTAAATATTCCACACACAATAAAACCAACCTAAACAAACAAGCCAGGCTAAAAGGTATTTCTACCTGTCATCAAATGAAATAGCGACTATCATTATCATGATCTTAAAACTTTTCAAAATCATGTTTTACTACTTATTTTTCTTTTTATGGCTAGCTCCAAGAATTTAGCAATATTTCAATCTAATTTGCAAAAGGTTGCAAAAAAATGTTTTCCTGGATATCCATTTTTTATCTCCCACAGGCATCTAAATTCAAAGTATTCAAAATCAGATCCTTGTCCCATGATTTCCTTTTTTCTTTTCCTTTTATTTTACTTTGTCCAGTGATTTAATTAAGTAAACAGTACCTTTTCATTCTAGTTGCTCAAGCCAGAAACTTGGCGTTATCAATCCCTCTTATTTCCCTTACCATCTTTTTGCAAATAATTCAGAATAAATTCAATTCTACTTAATATAAAAGACTCCATTTTGTTTCCTCTCCCAGTTTACAGCCTCATCAACCCATCAGTAGTCAGACATGTTTTCGCTAACAAGTAATCTGGCCATACCTCCCTCTGGACAAAATCCAAAGGCCTTAGTATGCCTTAACATCTTAATCCAAATGCTTTAGCAACTTTTCTTAAAGATGGTTCTCAAATGCTTCACCCTAATCCTCTAGACAGACAAAGAGTACACACACAGTGACTTGGGATGATTGTCATAAATGGCTTGGGGCAATCATTTCCTGTACATTCGAGTCTTCTCATACTACAGCAGCGGCGTATGTAACTATACCCCTGTGCTCTAAGGAAGGTAAAGTTGGAAAATTAATTTAGTTCATTAAACAAATATTCATTGAGCACCTACTGAATGCCCAATTGTACTAGTCATTAGGGAGAGGAAAATACGTCTATCTACTCCTTTACATTTGTCAATGTGATAAAGACTTTGTCAATGGCAAAGTCAGGTGCTGAAGAAATACAGAGAAGGTTCAGTTAAGTCTTCCTTAGAAAAGATGGAATCTGTGAACCTTTAGTTTAGAAGTTGTCCACTGAACAAACTGGAAAAGGCCATAGTTGGTAGAGGGAACATCATAAGCAAAGGCACAGGAATAAGAAAGAACATACCACTTTCAAGGATGGGCAAGTAGTTAGGTATATATGATCTGAAAACAGGATGCTTACAGGAGACTGTCGTATAAGAAATTTTAGTGGTAAAGTAAAGCCATATCAAGAAGACTCCTGACTGTCATGCTATGAAATTTGGATTTGACCCTAAAGGCAATAGAAGTATGATAAAACTGGGAAGCGGTGCAATAAGATATGTATTTTAGGAAGATTATGGGGTAAATATGGCTCTGAAAAGGCAATGAGAGAAGGTGAGACAAGCAAATTACTTCTTAGAAATCTGTGTATATTTGTTAAATAGTAATGCAAAATAGAAATAGACTCCAGGCATTCATACTTGTAAGATGTAAAATTAGAATGGTCCTCTGAATTTAATTTATGTAGGAATAAAGCAAGACCAAGACCACTCTGATCCTGGGCTTTCCTATTCTCAGAGATGTCAGTCTGGACCAAGAATTCACACCATCTGTTACTGTTTATATGCATTCTAAGTTCCCCACCCTCAGCTCTCAGTATGGTAAAGAAAAAAGTGATAGTGGATGAGACATGACAAACCATTTCAGAATTAATAAAAATTTTAAATTTACCAATTTAAAAATAAATTCAGTCTAGTTCTTTTCTCTACATTTGACATGAAACTTTTAGCAGTGCTTTGAAGCTGTCACCAGAAGGAAATTTTCCTAATTAGAAGAAGTAGGAGAACAATTAGCAAGTCATTCACTCTTCTTGCTAAAATCAGTGAAAAACACAAGTCACTTTCTGTGTAACTTTTGGTTATTATACTTTTCAGCTTAAATAGGTTATGGTAGAGTCTTTGTTCTTTTTTTAACATTAACTCTTCACAAACTCTGATCTCTCAAATATTGAGAGCTTTTTATGGAAAACACAGTCTAGGCACTGAGATGGATCTAAAGTAGTGACAACTGGCCACAGGTTAATAATTTACTTGAGTTAATGAACGATGTACGGCAGAGTGAAATTCATACCAGGGTAAAGGAACATTTTTAATGCAATGGGAATTTAAAGAAGAAAGTAAATCTGACCACAGAAAAGAATGGAAATTTCAGCAATGTTTGGAGAAAGGATAGGGAAAAAGAAAGAAGAAAGAGCAAGAGAGTTAGGGGGTGAGAAAGAGCAAGAGAGCCCGAGCAAAAACAAGAGTGAGAGTTAAGGGAGAAAAAGCATTTCTCCATCAGTAATCCAAAATTCTGGGATTTACTCTGTCTAGGCCAATAAGGTGACATGTACCTTCCTAAACAATCACTGGGGGCATAGAATTGCTGATTGGCTTAGGCCAGGAGATACAGATATGGTCAATTCTCCTAAATCACATGACTACTCCACATGATGACAGGTGAGTTCCACCAACGAAAATCTGGCC